AGTTCTTTCTATTTCAATTTGAAGTTGGGCATTTAGTGAACTTTATTATTGAATTTGTGAATTTGTGAGTTTGATTATTGGATAATGATGATGTACTGACTATGGTGGGACTATAGAATCCACCTCAGAAACAACAAGGTAACCTTAAAAAATGGGTGAAGCTCTCCACACTTTTGTCCATGGATTCAAATTTAGCCACGCATGAAGAAATGGAAAGAGAGTTGAATCGAGCCATCAATTTATCCCGACCACTGGATATAAACCTCACACTCAAAGGTTTCTATTTTTATTTTGATAATTATCTTTTATTGTTACCGTTGATGGTAACGGTAAAATTAAATAAGGAAACTAAAAATATGGTGACAGTGGTTTTGTGTTAAAAGAAAAGGTCATAGGTGGGTTTGAAAAATGACCGTTAGATTTATTCTAACGATTTATATAAAAGTGTGGATTAGTTTTCTTACTCTATGGGGAGTAAGAGATCAGGACTATATATATATATATATATATATATATATATATAATTTATACATATATACACACTAGAGGCGTCTGCGAAACAATTGGGTTGTAATCTAGTGTGGGATGGCCCATGGAATAATGGTGCGCACGTTGATCTAGGCTATTGAAAAAGTTTGATATAAGTGGATTGATCCGATGCATCGTGACGCATTGAAGTATGGTGCGCATGTGAACCTGGACCACGGATTAGGCTTGGTCAATAGAAGATTGATCTGATGTGGGTGTATACATGTGAGTTCAAATGAAATAATTTGGTATGGGTGCATACATGTGAGCTCAAGTGAGCTAATCTGGTGTGGGTGCATTTGTGTGAGCTCAGTGATATAATTTGGTGTGGACGCGCTCATAGTAGCGTTTGAGCTCAGCCTATTATTAATCCGGTCCAAACAGGACCGTGCACACCCCTACCTGAATCCAGGGGCGGAGCTATGAATGGGCTAACCTGAGCTATAGCTCAGGTCCAATTAAAAAAAAAAAAAATGGTACTACTAAACCCATGTACTACTCTTCAGCCCATCCATAATAAAACATCCAGTCCAGCCCAATCCAAACACATTGTTGCAAACCCAAACACATTTTAGTACTACTATCTCTTCATTTTTCCTATCAGTCATTCAGCCCATCCATAATAGCACATTCAGCCCAGCCCAATCCAAACACATTGTTACGTTGAACTCTCTTTTTTCTCAATCTGCAAAACTCCGTGAACAATTTGAATTTTCAAACTTATAAACAATTAAAGTTTTCTCAAATTATACGGCAAAGCTCAACTTGGTATCAAGTAATATAGATACTTAAACTTTACTCTTTTGAACACAATTTTAAAGTGAAAAAGTAGCTCTGTATGTTTCTAATCCAAACCGTTCTTTGCTTGAATTTTTTTTTTTTTTCCCCAGTAAATTTTCTATTTGAAATTTTTCTTTAGCTCCCTTTACTTTCAAATCCTGGCTCTGCCCCTGCCTAAATCTAACTGGGGTTTGGATGGTAGACCAAATAGATTGGAATAATTGGAATCAGTGGACAAAGCTGATGATGCTTTAATGTGGACTGTGGAGATTGGTCATGTTTAGATAATCCAACGGACATGATCTATTTTGATCAAACCTAACCCAAGGCTTGCCCTTACCACTCCATGTCCCCACCAAGCCCATGTTGATCTCACCTATGATCAATGGCCTCCATGTTGCCACCAAACACAAGCAAAAACTGAGGCAAAGAGCCCAACTCACAGATATTCCTTGTCCTCTGCGATTCCATTTACCAAACTTGGGTTAGGACCTTACTTTCCCCAACAATTTTTTTTACTAGCTGTAGCAATTTGATTTTTCACTTGAAACCTTATTTGGTTATTTTATTTATTTATTTATATTTTTAAAACGTTTAACAAATGTATAAATACGAACAACAAAATATAAATATAGCTATAATAATTTGATTTTAGACAAGATAGTAGTCATACCGCGAGTCATACCGGCATAAAACCTTATTTGCATTTTTTTTCTTTTTCTTTTTGAGAGGTTAAGCAAATGTATATATATCTATATAATATATGAACAGCAAGACTACATGCTGGCAAAAAGAGGAGGCTTTGCAAACAGGAGGCTTTGCAAAAAGAGGCCATACACACAGCCCAAAACAGCCTTAAGACCAAAAAGTAGGAAAGCCCAGTAACAGGCCCATCAGATAATCAAAAGCCCAGATGAAATTTTGCTTTGCTATTTAAATGTTTTGGGAAATGCTTTATTTATTTATTATTTTTTTTCATTTTTTTCTCGTTAAAAAAAAGCCCTCGCTGCCTGAATCTAACTGGGGTTTGGATGGTAGACGAAGTCGATTGGAAGATATTTAATGAAAGTAATTGAATTATTTATTTATATTTTGTGTGAACATAGAACCAAAATATATATATATATGTGTGTGTGTGTGTGTGTATTAGTAGCATAGACGGTAACTAAGAGAGACAAATATGGAGTTGTGTGTGTGTGTGTATTAATAGCATACACGGTAACTAAGAGAGACAAATATGGAGTCGTTGAATCCTCAATTTCCAAGTTGTGCTATGGTTGTTGATGATACATAGTGGAGTATATATAATGTGTATACATTTTGGTTTTTTGGTAGTTAGAATTTAATATAATTAATAAACCACATGTTACTTTTCCTGTCCTGGAGAAATTGTATATTGAAAAATTACATAGCATTACAGCTATATGGGACAAACAATTACTCCCAATCCAAGAAGCAGAAAATTCCTTTAAGCATCTCCAACAATTACATGTAATAAAATGTGAGAAGATAGAAAAGATAGTCGCATTCGGAATAAGACAAGGAGAAGAAGCAGACGGAAATCATGAGATTGCCATGTTCACTAAGTTGAAGATTTTGAGTCTTAAAGAGTTGCCAAGCTTGAAAAGTTTTTGCAAAAGTCATGGTTCTGAAAAAAAAGAAACATTGGGGAAGGTATTCCCGAAATACAAGCTCTCTTCAATTACAAGGTATGTATGTATTTCATGAAAAAAAAAAAAAATTAACTTCTATATAGATTTCATGTTTGAGATTTCATATATATTAAAAATAAATAAATAAAAATAATATAATCATCATCAAATGTAATTTTTATTTATTTATTTTTTTTATTTTTATTTTTTTATTTTTTTCTGAATTTATAAATGAGAGAATATTGTGTTACTGCCAAATGAAATACAATTGGAATCAGTCGACAAAGCCAATGATGTTTTAATGTGGACTGTGGAGATTGGTCATGTATAGATAATCCAACGGACATGATTTATTTTGATCAAGCCTAACCCAAGGCTTGTCCTTACCACTCATGTTCCCACCAAGCCCAAGTTGATTTCACCAATGATCAATGGCCTTGATGTTGCCACCAAACACAAACAAAAACTTACAGATCTTCCTTGTCCTCTGCAATTCCATCCACCAAACTTATATAATATTTATATATTTAGTTAATAATAATAATATAGGTAGTAGAAAATAATGAAATTCAATAAAAAAATTAATTATAGATGGAAATATATAATATTAAAAAATATAATTAGTTAATGATAATAATAATAATAATAATCATATAGGTAGTAGAAAATACTGAAATTCGACAAAAAAAAAATTCTAATTAGAGAATAAAATATATAATATTAAAAAATATAATTAGAGAGAAAATACATTAATATTTATTTAGTTCATAATAATATATAGGTAGTAGGAAATATTGAAATTCAATAATAAAAAAAAAGAAATCTAATTAGTGAGGGAAATATATAATATGAAAAAATATTTGGGTTCATAAATATTTCAAATTTCATTTACTCAAAGAAGTTGCTAATTAATTATTTATAAAAGAGAATTAATTTTGCATAATTTTTTTAATTAAGATTATAAAGTAAATTTTGACGTCTTTTACTAGTGTGTGTGTGTGTGTGTGTGTAAGAACAGCAGGAATATAGGATGGCCGAAGAACCAGGCTTTGCAAAAAGAGTCCATCCACCCAAGCTAATAAAGGCAGCCCAAAAACACAATAAAATGTGTTTATTGGAAGAACCCAATAACAGGCCCATTAACCATCAGATAAAATGTTGTGAAACCCATGCTTTGTAAAACGTTAGTTTTTATGGTAGACGAAGTATAGTGGAAAAATATTTAACATGGGTTAGGACCTTACTTTCCCCAACAATTTTTTTTACTACCTGTAGCAATTTGATTTTTCACTTAAAACCTTATTTGGTTATTTTATTTATATTTTTAAAACGGTTAACAAATGTATAAATATGAACAACAAAATATAAATATAGCTATAATAATTTGATTTTAGACAAGATAGTAGTCATACCGAGTCATACAGGCATAAAACCCTATTTGCATTTTTTTTTTTTTTTTCTTTTTGAGAGGTTAACCAAATGTATATATATCTATATAATATATGAACAGCAAGAATACATGCTGGCAAAAAGAGGAGGCTTTGCAAAAAGAGGCCTTACACACAGCCCAAAACACAAAAGGGAGAGCCTTAAGACCAAAAAGTAAGAAAGCCCAGTAACAGGCCCATCAGATAATCAAAAGCCCAGATGAAATTTTGCTTTGCTATTTAAATGTTTTGGGAAATGCTTTATTTATTTATTATAATTTTCATTTTTTTCTCGTTAAATAAAAGCCCTTGCTGCCTGAATCTAACTGGGGTTTGGATGGCAGACGAAGTAGATTGGAAGATATTTAATGAAAGTAATTGAATTATTTATTTATATTTTGTGTGAACATAGAACCAATATATATATATATAGCATAGATGGTAACTAAGAGAGACAAATATGGAGTTGTTGTATCCTCAATTTCCAAGTTGTGCTATGGTTGTTGATGATACATAGTGGAGAATATATAATGTGTATACATTTTAGTTTTTTGGTAGTTAAAATTTTATACATGTTTATTAGTTTTCAAAATTTAATATAATTAATGAACCACAGGTTACTTTTCCTGTCTTGGAGGTATTGTATATTGAAAAATTAAATAGCATTACAGCTATATGGGACAAACAATTACTCCCAATTCAAGAAGCAAAAAATTCCTTTAAGCATCTTCAACAATTACATGTATTCGAATGTGAGAAGATAGAAAAGATAGTCGCATTCGGAATAGGACAAGGAGGAGAAGCAGACGCAAGTCTTGAGATTGTCATGTTCACCAAGTTGAAGATTTTGAGTCTTGTAGAGTTGCTAAGCTTGAAAAGTTTTTGCAAAAGTCATTGTTCTGAAAAAGAAGAAACATCGGAGAAAGGCATTCCCAAAATACAAGCTCTCTTCAATCGCAAGGTACGTATATATTTCATGAAAAAAAAACTAACTTGTATCCAGATTTCATGTTTGAGATTTCATATATATTAAAAATAAATAAAAAATAATATAATCATCATCAAATGTAATTTTTTTTTTTCTTCTGAATTTCTAAATGAGAAAATATTGTGTTACTGCCAAATGAAATACAATTGGAATCAGTCGACAAAGCCAATGATGTTTTAATGTGGACTGTGGAGATTGGTCATGTATAGATAATCCAACGGACATGATCTATTTTGAGCAAGCCTAACCCAAGGCTTGTCCTTACCACTCCCCCACCAAGCCCAAGTTGATTTCACCAATGATCAATGGCCTTGATGTTGCCACCAAACACAAGCAAAAACTTAAAAATCTTCCTTGTCCTCTGCAATTCCATCCACCAAACTTATATAATATTTAGTTAATAATAATAATATAGGTAGTGGAAATAATGAAATTCAATAAAAAAAATTAATTATAGATGGAAATGTATAATATTAAAAAATATAATTAGTTAATAACAATAATAATATAGGTAGTAGAAAATACTGAAATTCAACAAAAAAAATAAAGAAAAATCTAATTAGAGAATAAAATATATAATATTAAAAAATATAATTAGAGAGGAAAATACATTAATATTTATTTAGTTCATAATAATATATAGGTAGTAGGAAATATTGAAATTCAATAATAAAAAATAAGAAATCTAATTAGTGAGGGAAATATATAATATGAAAAAATATTTGGGTTCATAAATATTTCAAATTTCATTTACTCAAAGAAGTTGCTAATTAATTATTTATAAAAGAGAATTAATTTTGCATAATTTTTTTAATTAAGATTGTAATGTAAATTTTGACGTCTTTTACTAGTGTGTGTGTGTGTGTGTGTGTGTGTATTGGCCAAAGAAGCAGGCTTTGCAAAAAGAGTCCATCCACCCAAGCTAATAAAGGCAGCCCAAAAACAAAATAAAATGTGTTTATTGGAATTACAGGCCCATTAACCATCCAGACAAAATGTTGTGAAACCCATGCTTTGTAAAATATTAGTTTTTAGGGAAAATTACATATAAATGGAGTCAAAGTTCCATATTTACTTAGAGACTGAGTCAAAGTTCCATATTTCTCTAAAATGAATTGCTGAGGTGGCACATGGTTTTTTACTGTTTTAAAAATTGTGGTGTCTAAAATGCCCTTCCCTAACAAAAAAGTAGTACCTTCAGTTCAAAAAAGTAGTACCTTCGGAGAAAAAGTAGTACCTTCACGGGTGTTTAAAAAACATGGTACCTGGACGCCAAAAAGTAGTACCTTCAGTTCAAAAAAGTAGTACCTTCGAAGAAAAAGTAGTACCTTCGCGGAAGGGTATTTTAGGCACCACAATTTCTAAACAGTAAAAAACCATGTGCCACCTCAGCAATCCATTTTAGAGAAATATAGAACTTTGACTCAGCCTCTAAGTAAATATGGAACTTTGACTCCATTTATATGTAATTTTCCCTAGTTTTTATGGTAGACGAAGTACAGTAGAAAAATATTTAATAAAACTATTGTTGTAATTGATTTATTTATTTATATTTTGTGTAGTGTGTGAATTAGACATCTCTTATCAGAACTGAGAATCAAAATATATGCATTTAAGTATATAATATCCTTAAATGTAGGGCTCAATTCCTATTGTTTTTTGGTAAAAAAAAAAAAAAAAAAACGGTTCTTAGAGAATGTTCGGAATTGATCATGTGTTCAAAAATATTATGGTGAAGTGGGTTCAAAAGACCTAGAAGGGAAACAATATATGCATATGTAATGAACAAAATTTAATGTAATAAACCACGTGTTACTCTTCTTGCCTCGGACGAATTGTCCATTGGAAAATTAAATAGCATTATTGCTACATGGGATAAGCAATTACTCCTAAACCAAATCGGAATTATTTAAAATAATGAAGAGTCAAGCAATTAGTCCCAAACCAAACCGGAACTGACTGATTTTTTTTGCAGGTTGCAATTCCAATGTTGGAGGAACTGACACTCTATGAAGGAAACCTCTTTGAACATATTTGGAATGCCGAGATTCCAGCGAGCTCCTCTAGCAAACTAAGAGTCTTGACGGTAACTGGAAACGACTCTGAATATGATTTTCCATGGAGCTTCTCCAGCACACAAAGAGTCTTGGAGGTAACTCGGAGCAGCAAATTAGTAAATTTTCCTCCTAACCTGCTACAGAGGTTTGAGGCTGTTGAACAACTCACTCTGTCATATTGTTTGTCATTAGAAGCTGTAGTAGGCTTCAACCGTGAAGAACTTAATGCTATAGTGAGACAGGAATTTATGGTTTTCAACAACCTAACAACTTTGGATATTTATTGTTGCGAAAGCCTGAGATATTTATTCTCACTCTCAATAGCAACAACTTGGGATGCTATTTATTAGGGACTGTCCTTTGATGGAAGAAATAGTGAGAAATGAAGAAGAAGAAGAAGAAGGCCCAGATGATGGTAGAGATAAAATACTAGTTGTGTTTCCTCGGTTAGAGCATCTGAATCTCTACCGTCTACCAAACCTCAGAAGCTTTTGTGGGCCAAATAATATTGCTTTTCAATTGCCATCCTTAAATCACATCAGTGTTCGGAGGTGTGACCAAATTTGGACCACATCTGGAGGCACAAGAAAGCCAGCGACAAGTTTATTTGGTCATCATCTTCCATTTTTAGATCAACAAATTAATCACTATTTGCACAATGATAAAATGGAATGGCGACGGCCTAGAGGTAAATATGGAGTTGATAAAATTATAATAAGAAAAATTTGTCCTTCAATTTCTAATGCTTTCCATTTTTGATATGAATTGCTAGATGACGAAACAAATGAGGATGAAGTTGAAGGAGAGATCTCAGATGAGTAAACTAATGAGGATGAAGTAGAAGAGGAGACCATGGGATACTTGGCTCTAATTTTTTTTTTTTTTAAACTTACACCAATTTTTATTCTTTGGCTCTAGTATAGGATTTGTAGTTAGTAAAACATTGTATAATATACCTATAGTACACATCCATATAATTTTGAAAAAATAGAGAAAGAAAACAAAAAGAAAATTCAAGTCAATCTCTGAATACCTCAAATAAAAACTGTTTTACAATATTGTGGAACCTATGCAAGCCCAAAATGTGTCGCAGATTAACATAATGAAAAAACACCACCCATGTTTGTGTCTTGGATTGAATGATTAAACATGTTTTGTTGAACATATATAGTTGACTAAACCTGACCTTTGAAATTAGTAAGTGGAACAAAAGAAACAAATGTTGTACAATACTTTACAGAAACATGAAGTTGATGCACCCTTTTGCTAACCATGACACTGCACCCGGATACAATAATACAGACATACAGGCGATGAAAACTTGAAAAAAAAAAATATGATAATATATATATATATATATATACAGATATGTATAAAATTCAAAACATATAATTGCCTCCATTTATAAGTTTAAAATAGTAATTTTTGTTGCCTGGTATATATATATATATATATATATAAATTTATTATTACTAGCATTCTATTATAAGATATAACTTCTAAAAATTATTATTTAAATAAACTATATTTTTTAAAATAACTACGCCGGCGCCTTTTTAAAAGACTTACATTATATAATATAACATTTCTTTTCTAATTTAATTTCTGAAACATTTTGTCATGATGATCAAATAAAAAGAGCTATGATGGACAGATACTTATATAAAAGTGTACTGCCACACAAATCAAATGTCAATATGCATTAGATACTTGCAAATACTTTATAAACACATGCAAATTTTTAATATTTATATTTCAAATCTGTGTATGATGCTTCCAATATAGATCTACATATTCCATAATTGTTAAATCCTTTCTAATACAAAGTTTCCTTGCCGAAAAAAGTACTTACCATATAATCTGTAACAGTTAGATATTTTGATTTGGAGGGGCTAAAATATTGAAAAAATTAGAAATAAATTATAGTATAGAATTAAGTAAAGTGAAAATAGAGTAGAGAATAAGAGATTGACACCAACATTTTTTTACGTGAAAAACCTCAACAAGGAAAAATAAAATAAAATTACGTTAATGCCCTCATGTCAGTAGAATAAATTAATAGGTAAAAATGCAGGTCATGTAAAATGACCGTTTTGTCCAATTGCGATCAACTATTTATATATAACTATATTATTATTTAAAATACAAAGACTTTCATCATATAATTGTGTTTCAAAACATTAATTTTTATTTATATGTTTTAACATAAATTTACCATTCTATTTTATTCTAATATTTTCTATTGGAAATGTAGTCTAAGACACTATTTCTTTTTTCTTTTTGATTTTATCTTTTTATTTTTTACCTTTTCTATTTTATTCTAATAATTTCTCTTTTTATATGTAGCCCAAGACACTTTTTTTTTTTCCTTTTCATTTTATCTTTTTATTTTTGACCTTTTCTATTCTGTTCTAACAATTTCTATTTTTATGAGTAGTCTGAGACACAGTTTTTTTTTTTTTTTTTTTGCCCAGTTTTAGTAATTTACCTTTTATTTTTTACCTTTTCTATTCTATTCTAATAAATTTTGTTTTTTATATTTAGTCCGTGACACTATTTTTTCCCTTTTTGATTTTACATTTGTATTTTTTACCTTTTCTATTTTGTTCTAATCATTTTTATTTTTATATGTAGTTGGAGACAATTTTTGTTTAAAAGTAGAAACAATATTGGTTTAACTTTTTAAAATTGCCTGAATGATTAGGGATCAATATTATTATTAATAAAATTTGGTAAAATAAATTCACTTATGTACTTATTGTATTTTCATTTTCATCATGTTATTATTATTATTTGAATTTTTAGTTCAGTTTAGCTTTGAGCCTTTGAACGGTTAATTTATAATTTTATTTTAAATTTAATTTTGTTTCTATTTTACTAATATATATTAAGCTTTATGTTTATACAAATCCTAAAGTTAGCATAGACTTTTTAATAAATAAAAAAATTAAAACAAAAACAAAATCATAATTGAAAAATAGCAATAGCACAACACCGCCCATGTCTGTGTCTAAAAATTTATTTCAATTATTAGTGAATCTTTACCTGATTGATTTGATTGAATGTGTTGAACTTAGTTAATTGGCACAAAAGAAATATAATATGTTCTATTATTTAATTAATAATTGGCACAAAAGAAACAAATGTTGTACTTCCCTATAAACTTTGTTACAATATTTTAGAGAAACATGAAGTTTATGTACCTTTTGCCATAAAGCATGAACATGGACACTGGACAAAGGATGTAATATAATACACCTGGGATGCATGTGGTTAAAAGTTATTTTTTAATTTTAATTAAAAAAATTATACTGAAATATCAAAATAAATTCCCTTTTACAAATACAGTAATTATTTAGCAACTTCTTTGGACGGATTGAAATTTTAAATATTAAAGGCAAATATTTTGTCTTTTGCACATTCATTAGTAACAAATAAGATTTTAAGAGTAAATATTAAAGTTTAAGGTGTTACAATTTCTCATTTAAATAATTCTTAGCTATGATATAATTTTAGATAAATGTTAAAATTCCTATTTTTTAAAAATTACTCCAACTAAATGTATAAAATAGTTCTAATACTTAGTGTGAGAATGATATAATTTTTTAATATTATATATTTCCTTATCTAATTAGACTTCCTTTTATTGAATTAAATAAGTTTTAAATATTATATATTAATGTACCAAAATACTGAAATTCAATAATGTGTTTACTCCTCTAATTAGATTTTTAAATATTATATATTTCCTTTTGTAATTAGATTTCTTTTTTTATTGAATTTCAGTACTTCCTACTACCTATATTATTATTATTAACTAAATGAATAATTTTTTAAATATTTTTTTTTCTTTAATTATATTTACTTTAATTGAATTAAATAAATAAACTTTTTTATATCTATCATATATTAATTTGTTTCTTCTCTAATTATATTTCCTTTTATTGAATTAAATAAATTTTTAATATTATATATATTCTTCCCTAATTAGCTTTCCTTCTATTGAATTCAATATATACATTTTTAATATTATATATTAAGGTAGGGTAAATTGCACTCACACACCTCAAGTTTTGCTTAAAGACAAATAGTTACAATTTAGGTACTTTTTGGACGCTGATGCCCTCAAATTCGGTAAATTGAACAATGACACTCCAAATCAAAGTGAAAAATACCTTATTGCCCTTTAACTTATAAATTAATTTATTTAAATTATGTCCTACGTATTTCATTCTTTTCAATCATGTTTTAATTACTATTAATTTTGTGAGTTGACTGATGCAGAAGTACGTGCATAAGTCAAAATTAATTAGGAAGATTTAAAGGGGATGAAGAGGTCTACTTTGCTCCTTTGATTGATTTTAAAATTCTTTTTGTATTTTAGAGAATTCAGCACACAAACAATGAACCAACACAAAAAATAAGTAAAGTGAAAATAGAGTAGAGAAAACAAATGGGCAATAGCACAGTATAGGTCCTCCTCCCCAAATGAGAGGTCGGTTGTTCGAGTGTTGGTCGTCGTCCTACCATAGGCTTAAGAGTGTGCATTAAGGCGAGGGCTAAGAGTTTTACATTTATAGAAGCCACTACTACCTTTCACTATAAATATAACAAGGGCGAGTAGGGATCGTCCCAAGGGATTATAGGGATTGAGCAATGTCGGAGTTGATTATGGAATCGCTATTAGGGCTAGTAGGTCGAGTGATCAAACAATTGGTTGGTTGGTTGATTAAAGAGCAACTAAATTAAACTAAGTAATAGGAAAAGAGTGTAATTAAGAGTAAGTAAGAGAGAGAAGAGTCTTGGGGTTTAGAGATCATCACCAAGCAATGCATTTCTATATTATTTGACAAGTGATTAATGAAGGCAATTAGGGTGTTGCAATATTGGTATGTGTGTGTATTTGGTTGATTCAACAAGTAAGGATGACTAGTTAAGCATGTATTGTCTAAACATCATGTGAAAGGCACAATATATCTAAGCAATGAAGCATATATTGTCTAAACAACATGTGAAAGGCACAAGAATCAAAACAAGTCATTAATCCTTTCATTAGGCTCACAATCCAAATACAACACAAGATTAGAGACATATGCTAATTGCATTCAAAAGCTTGGATCATCAAACAACAAGCATAGATTGTCCTCCCATTTAATACTACACTACATCTAAGCTATTAGCATGAAAATAAACTAGGGAAGAGGTACAATCCATTAAGAGATAAGCATGAACCATCAAAAGAATCACAAAAGCATTCATTTAAGCACTATATTTTAACAATCCCTAAATCCGTGGCATCAATACACATAGACATGCATCAACAACACAAAATCTAGAGACAAGAACATGAACATCAATTCTAGCATACATAGACATCTACATAGAATGAAATGATCAATTGGAAGCATTAAACCACACAAATCATTGATTAAACAAGATCTATAAATATCAAAGTGTCAAAACATTAATTACAACACTAATCCCTTAATAATACACAAGATTAAGATATAGAAAGCATGCTTGGGGCTAACTCTAGCCCCAAGAAGATGTCTAGCCACTCATGGTGAGGATGTTCCAACCCTCAAGGGCTAACTCCATGAAGAGGTTTGCTCCTTGTTGATGAAGATCTCCAATGGTGTCTCTAGCCTCCTCTTTCTCTAAACTTCCTCTCCAAGAGATGATATCAAAAATAATGTTGGATCCCTTTGAAAAAGCAATCCTTATCCTTATATAGGTAGGTCAAAATGACACCCAAAATGAGCTAGGGTCGTGCACACAATATTCTCCAATGGTTGGATAAAGGACAACTTTCAATGGGATGGAATTTTAACTTTTTCGCACTAGAGGAAATTCGATCGATCGAAAGTGAGATCGATCGAACTTAGGCTGGATCGATCTAACTGGTTGAGCTTTTTAGAAAAAGACAAATCAGAGATATTTATGGGAAAAGGACAAAAGTGGTTGGTGGGTGGTACAGCCGTGGATAGGATCAATCATTTGGATAAGGACAAAGGTGTTCGATCGATCGAAGAATGATGTTGGATCGATCGAACTTTTGGACTTAAGTGCTTTGGGTCAAGGCTTGGATCTATCTTGAAGTGCTGAGATCGATCAATGTTCGATCGATCGA